ACCTATGTAGATTAGCTATGAGTCCTAGGTTATCCAATATAGAAATAAGACCGAGGATCACAAATACCCTAGATTGGGCACCATGGCCTCAGTTCTGAAGGCCAAGGCCATGCGCCAAATCAGTGTGGCTTCTAGGCATCAGTTCAGTAAAGTACAATCTGAGAGGTTGGTGCTTAGGTGCCAACCACTGGGTGTAATGGCCCCAGTCCTTAAGGCCAAGCCCATGTTGCCAGACTAAAGTGGCACCCAGGCGTCAACATTGAATTATGGATTGTTTTGAGATGGTTCATAGTAGTTCAATAGCGGCGCCAATACTGAATTCTAGCTATTTCAAGACAATTCAGAGCAGTTCAACAGTGGTTTCAAGGTAGTTTTTAGAGATGCTTGGAAGAAAATGAAGAGAGGAAGAAGATACAATATAGAAGAAGCCAGGAGTCGAAAGACTATGCAGTGAGAGATTTTTGGAGGGATTTTTCCTCCTATGTCTTTAGTGCTCTAGGCTTGTTCTAAGCATGTCTAGGAGTGTGTGTGGTGATTTGTGAGTGATGTTGTGTAAGGAGTTGCAGTAGAAGAGAAAGGGCTTGGGTGAAGGATCATCAAGGCAAATTGAGGGAGAGAAATAAGTATGTTTGTGATTTGGAATTGTGATTTTCTGAAACACATTTATATGTTGAACATCTTTCTTTCAATGCATTCTGGTGTTGCTGTACCCATGCTTTCCGAGTAGATTTACTTGTTTTTCCTTGTGGTAACATGGTAGATGTGTAGGAATGTTGGATTGAATGTTGAAATAGTTTATATTCCAAAATTGTTATGATTTTCTTTTTGCACTTAGTTTATTTTTTAATCTGTCTAATTGATTTGTTAAAACATGTTGTTAACCCGTAAGGACTCTAAAGAGTTTCAACATAAACGATTATGGAAAGCACATTGAACTATAGGGTATGAATTTAAGTACACTACAGGTAGATGCAAATATTAGGGAGATAAAACTTAATGTGGTACAAATTGGGGATTTTTAGAGCGACAGTCTAGAATCAACACCAATTTGAACCAAACCTCTTTATACACTCGAAAGACGGTAAAGCGGATTTATGCTTCTATTTGTCTCAAAACCTTACTTTATTTCACCTTTATACCAATATGTTGTTAACCCGTAATAGAAAAAGTTGAATCGAGTCCCTTTGGGATCAACTAAGCTTAGCATGAGGTGTCAAAGTTGCTTTGCATTTTGCGAGACTAGGGCGTAGAACACAAAGGACCGTATGTTTTCTTGGAAATATGATTGTTGTCATACTCAAGAATAATGTTTGACAATGCTTTAGTTGCTGCTTTTGAATCTTTTTCCTCTTAGCGGGGGTGTTTTCCATGCAAGTTTATAAAACAACACATGTATCAGACATTGAAGAGATTAGCTTTCGCATCTAGTTGAAGAAGAAGTCCAGTATGACGAGGGGTCACTGAGGAAGCGTTATTTGAGGTGAAGATTGCCCCTCAGTCCAGGAGCAATTCTCGTAGACATGTAATCTGAATGAATTATGGGATGACTTCCCCATCACACTCGTGCTTGGGACATTAACATGAAAGAACTTTCTAGACTGCAGTGAAGGTTGCACCTCAGCTTGGAAAAAATTGTGAAATGCTTTGTGTCTGAATAGTATGCAAGAAGACAACCCCACTACAATCGTGCCTGGGACGTTGACGCGAACATACTTTCGAGACTGCGACGAAAGTTGCCTCCCACATCAAAGAAAGCTTCAGGGATGATCTTCAAGATGTAAAGAAGATTCTTTCGCCAGTTGGATGATATACATCATTTGGAAACGAAGTAGGGGATCGACGTCTCAGAGTTGAAAACAGTGTCGAACAGACTTCATTTCCCACAGAAGACACCAAACTAATGTGTGCTAGAAAGTTCACGGTGGTAAAGTAATAGATTATCGTCTTAGCATTGAATGAGAATTCAACACACACTCTAGTAAAAAAACCAGTAATGACGCCAGAAGTTTTTACGTGGAAATCCCCTAAAAGAAAAAAAACCAAGGGGACTCTCCTTGCCGTGAAAATTTACTATAGGTTGATGATTACAAAGATCTTTGTCCCACACACGGAAAAGGGTTATTGGGTTTTTCAATTTACAACTTCGACTGGCAGCTTCCGGTTGGTGTTGGTCGATGTTAATTAGTGGTGATTGACGGTGGTTAGCAGTGGTTAACGACGATCAGTGGTGGTTGACGGTGACAGTAGTCATCGACGACGGTCGGTGGTTGCTGACAGTTTGTTGACGGCGACAGAGGTGGTGCTGGACTTCAGCTCTTTCTCAAAGCTTTAGGTTCTCTCTCAAGTCTCAAGTCCTCTCTCATGAGAGATGTGGGGCTTGATTTATAGTGTTTTAAGTGCAAATAATGCAGGAATATAACTACTTTGTTCGGACGGTCCGGAAGATGTTTGATGGACACTTGAGTGTCTTAACGATGTCGGAATTGAGCAATTTTGGGCTCATTGGATTCATCTTGTTGAGATACTCGATTCAACTATGAACTCGCTTGATTTAGCTTTCGTTTGACCTTCCAAATGTGTCCAAAAATCATCCAAGAATGGTTTAATGCCTTGATTTAAGCTTAACTTGACTCAGATTGGACAAATTTTAATATTATTGGGTCTGTCTCATCGAGTCGGTCAGTTTGACTATAAGTTTACTGAAATCTGAGCTTTTAATAAATTTTTATCAAGTTTTGAATATTTTTTGCTCAAAATGTCATCTCGAAATCTTTGTCATATCTCAAGATCTTATATATATATATATATTCTTTGCAACCGGCCCACCACCATAAACGCCATTGCTTTCGTTTTTTGCCCCCTCAATTACAGCGAACAAATGATGGCTGGAGAAATTTTTTTAATTTGTACGATATCACTCAATTCTATTAACAAGATTTATTAATCAAGGTGCCTTGCTGTGCTTGATCGAGTATAATTGTCCTGTTGAAGTTTAATTGACTAATTTATTTTACATAACGGTTGTATTCTATCTTCTAAGGCTCTTCTGCTGCCATGGTTGATGGAGCTCACGAGTCCTCAGCTTTGTTTCGAAGAACGGAAAATTCCGATGGTTTATCGGACAAGCGATGGTTTTTTGACGGTTTATCGAACATGGGACGTTTGGGCAAAGTGCTACACTTTTGCTATGGACAGAGCCGTCGGTAAATTCCCACAGTTAACCGACGGTTGGGCGACAATTTACCGACATAATCATGCCGGTTATATAGCCATCGGTCAAGCTATCGTTAAATATGACATGCTTTTAAATCTATCGTGACAGTTATTGTACGTCGGTAACCGTCGGTCAATGTAAACCGTCGTTAAATCTGCTGGCAATTTAATTTCTTATAACTGATTTTGCTACGTAAATTTTGTCACAACTAAACCATCGGTAAATATATTACCCATGATTTATCTGTTATTACCGACGGTATTTAACCGCCGGCAATAAACTAAATTCGTGTAGTGATTCTTCAATGTGGGAGTACCATGCAAAATAAATTTTCAATTCATTGTAGAGGAATTTACATACAGTCCACACAACTCTTACATCTTTATATATCTAGCATCTTAATTTTGATATTTACATATAAAACATTAAGTTGTACATGACATTTCCTCACATATCTACACTTATAAGCCCTTCGTGTGAAAAAAAATCCTATGGGCGGTTGTCTGCATGCCCGAACAACCACTCATGAGGAGGTCACGTCATCCCGCATGTGAACTTGGGGTGACGTAACCTGCTGTGAGACAATGTCCAGGCTTGCGGACACCGCACGTAATATTATGTTTTATGTACGAGTATTTTTGAAGTTCTGCAAAAACTTTCTGAGTGATTATTATGTTAGCTTTTATTATGACATCGGTCATTAGTTGACGGAGATTCCCTCTCCTCTTAAGTGGATATAGGCTTGGTTGAAGCCAAAACATGTAAATGTGGATGTCTTTCTATATTTGCATTCTCAATTTGTTTTAACTTTGCAATTCATTTTCTCATTTATCCTTCCACTTAAGTTATTTGATACCCTTAACCATGTTAGTTTTAAATTAAAAAGATAATATAAATGAATTTTATGAATAATAATTTATATTTTTGTAAGAGATCATGAAACACTTTTTGCCTTGATTAATAATTATTAATAATAAAAAAATTAAATATCATGAAAAAGGAAATCAAAGTAGGTCAGAAAGTACTTGAATGATAACATATTTAATATCTAAATTGGTAAGATGCTCTTATTGACTTGGATTATAGTAGCAATATCCAAGAATTGTTGGAGGGAATCTGGAGGATAGAAGTTCCCAAAAATGTTGTTTTTTTCAATCTCTTTTATTCTTCTATGATAAACAAATATATAGCAGGAAGATAATATCTTTTTGTAAGGTTGAGATTTGTAACTTTTGGTTGGGTTAAAATGTAAAAAATTTACCTGGCATGCCAACTTAACTCAAACCCAACTTGATAATGAGGGTTTGAGTTAACCCAATTATTTTTTTGATCGAGTTTTGGTTCGGGGTTACCTGCTAATGCAACATTGATTCAAAATTGGCTAGTAACTTTAATTAACTCGAATTTGGCCTGATATTGACTCAAACATATAACAACAATCAGCCCCAATACTGATGAATGTATTTTAAGATTTTCATCACAATATATACATTTTAGTGGAGTAAAAAAATAAAATTTTGAGAAAAAAACACTCAAAATTTAACACCACATCAACAATACTAATTGATAAAAGTGAAATATACCTTTTCATTTATAGATTTATTAAAACAAAATGTCATAAATATAAATATAAATTTTTATTTGTTAGATGTGTGAATACAAAATAATTGTGTGTATGTATATGCAAATTTTCCAATAAAAAATGTTACTAATAATGGCCGACATTATCAAGAGTCTTGCTTATAAATAGATACATTGCAGGCCTTCTGAAGCTCACATAACGAATTCTTTTATTTAGCTTTTAAGGGGTTTCTTAAAGTCATGAAAGAAGAAGTAGGCTCATTAAAAACCTTAGCCTCTACTGATGGAACTCCATCCTCACCTTTACTTCGAAGAACTGCAAATTATCAGCCAAGCTTATGGGATGGTTGTTATATTCAATCACTCCCTGATGGCACTCTGGTAATAATTATAGATTTTCTTATTAAATTTTTTATCAGGTTTTTGGGTTAATTTATTAACATTACTAATCTTTGAATAATAAAATTAATAGCCCAAAATCTAGCTTTATGAACTTTTATTATATGTGTAACTAACTCTGTAAGCTTTTTGTCTAGTTGTCTCTATTTTCAATAGTGATTATAAATTAGCAGTTTGAAAGGGACATTTGCCAAGTTGATAACATATTATTGAAATAGCTTCTATCTAAGGGATTACAAGTATCCTACTATAGGATAACATGCATTAAACTCCTTACAATTTCAAAAAATTTTTTGTTCATTATCTTTCCTAATCCATAATTGTTAGAACTTATTTCCACTATCATATGCCTTCCATTGCCCTGATATGTATTGAATTCCTTCAACTCTTAAAAACAAAAAGTTCAATCACTATTTTACTTTTCTTAAAATTACCTCCACTTATGTTTTTTATTAACATGATCCACTAACTAATGTCTTGAAAATGTTATTTGAGTTCTTTAGTAATAAAACCCATAATCTTCTATGTTAATTAATGATATAATAAATTTAAAGAATATCTTAGAACTCCATCAACTACTGTGAGCATGATAAAATTTAAATAACATTTTAGAAGGGCTCCATCAATTTGAGTGAGCATGATAAAAATTTGTCTTAACATTGTACTAAGCCTTTATATAGTAAGTCTTTTTTTTTAAATGTAACCAACATAAAAGACAATCTTCATTTATTTCTATTTTACAAGAAGTTCTTAATTTAATGATTATAATAAATATTGTAAGTCTTTTCCTAAATGTAATTATCATAATAGTCAAGCTTTTTTTATATCTATTTTACAAGAAGTCCTTGATTTAATGATTATAATAATCTCAATTCAATCTCTTGCTAAGTCTTATGTTTTAAATAGGGTCTTATAAATTATTGGAGTAATAAAGGATGAAGTAGATCTTTGAATCATCGTCTTTATTAGAGTATATTTTCCATTTTTAGAAAAATTTATTTTGATTATAAAATCCTAGAAAGCTTCAATTTATTATACTTTGAAAGAAAAGCCCCTTGATGAAATAGTCCAGAAAAAATCATGTTCATATGCTCTGAAACCTATTCAATACTTTGAAAGATCCTCTTTTGGCCATCTAACATTCTTACCTCTATTATCACAACTCTATGAACTTTATATGCTTTGTTAATACTTTAAAGTATTGGATCCATATCATATTCATTAACAATTTTCAATTAGGATTTCTTCAGTGTCATATGGAATGCAAAATAACTATTGATTCTCCCATTATAACAAAATAGGTTTTTTAATGAAATCTTAATTCCTTAGAAATTTTGCATTATTAAAAAAGTTGATTTTTGATGGCCTATCATCCATGTGTAAAATTTATTATAGAAATATATTTTGATGCATCGTAAAATAGCATAATATTTTTAGTTGCATCACCAGTCACCTTGATAGTGGAATACTTCAACTGAGAAAAATTATACATGATAATATAAAAATTGATTGCATAATAAAACATGATCTTTTATGCTTGCCAATAATTTTTTATGGCCCATTTGGTTGGTCATGCATTGAAAAATATGGTTAGCATTTTTTAAGCTAGATAATATATATGTATAATTACCACCATAGAGGTCACCAGAGTTAATAAAAAACTTAGGAAAAATAAATATTTTTTACTATTTTTTCATATTTTTATAGTTGCAAGTAACAAACACATTAATAATAGAAGCAAAATATAATTTTATCATAAATAAAAACAAAAATAATTTCATGGCTACGTAACATAAAACATTCATATGTAATAGATTATGACTATACATTATAGCTAAACAAACTAAACGGGAGATAAAATAAGGATGTTAGCTCACTAATTCCTCTGTTATCACATCATCTTCCTCCACCTCCTCCTCATCCTCTTTGAATCATGGATGCTCCCTTCTTTATTATTTGAGCGTTAATGCTTGTACCTTAGCTTACAACATAATTATCTGAGTAATCATCCAGGCTTCTATATCTTTGGTAAATATAGCCACCCACTAACTTAGCAGAATATTAATCTTCTTGAATATTTTGTCAAAAAAGGAATGTCACATATCATATTCCTTATCTTGCACACAAACCTCATAGATTTCTTATTATTTCCTCCTACTACTTATCTCTAAAAATTAAAATATTCTTAAACCATATACATTGTTATATGAAATATAAGTTAATATTAACTAAAATTTACCTCAACTCTCTAAAACATATATCAAGAACATCAACTATAATTTTCATTTAAGAGATGTAAGGAACATCAAATTTGTTTTTTTTTTCTATTACATCTCTTATTTTATGTACAACTTGCCTTGAAGGATTAAATTTGCATAATGTAAACAATTAGTAAGATGTATTTCTCAAGGCAAAAAAATGAAAACTTATGTTTCTCCTTAAAGCTCAATGTAAATTTGATTTTCAAGAGCTTCAATTTCATTAACAATCTTTTTGTAGCAAAAATGGATGGTCCAACATAGTATGTTGGTGCTTATAGTGAAGGATAGTAGCTAGGTTTACCCTAAAATAAGAAAGGATAAGAAAATTGCTTTCTAAGTTGGCGCCTAATATATTGGATGATGATAAAGTGAAGTTTTTCTTATAAATATTGATAAATGGTATACTAAAGTAAAGGTTACTCAAAATGGACATATGATGTGATCTCAATAATAATGGTGGGGTTGGTTGACCTATAAGGCATTGAAGTGAGTATCTTCTTTCTAATGAAAATAATTATGATTAACTTATGAAAATGATAATCACCACCTTTTGATGTCAATTTTAATAAAACATAAGAGAAGAATAATTCAAATAAAAACTTTTATTTTGGCTTGTAATAACTAAAGTAAATATGCATGTCAATATTGTTAAATTAAGACATGGATATCAATTGATTTTTTTTCTTAATGAGTGATCTTAATTACATTTCAAGCATTTATTATAAAATTTAATTTAATATTAAATTTTACTCACCAGTCCTTTCTATCTATTATCGTGCCAATTACATTGCATAATATGCTTTAGATGCATGTTGTGATAAAATGAAGGTGGTCCAATTTAGTATATTGTGATGTTATTTAAACTTTAGTGTCTTCATACAACTTATACAACCTTCTATCATGATTAAAATAGGATCAAACTAATTATAGTCACATATGAATGAATTTTTCTTGTAGCAACCAAGATATTATAATTATATTAATTATTAGAAAATGGTACAATACTTAGTCTCATTCTCTAATTGTGTTGAATCTTGATTTGTGCATCAATCACATCCCAAGGAGGAGGGAGGGAGGGAAGGAGGCATGGAGGGAGCGAGCGGGGGAGAGAGAGAGAGAAAGAGAGAGGAGTAAATAATAAGAAGAATAATTGGTTGTCTTTGAAAGAAAAACTTCCTTGTTCATTCTCATAAAATGATCTCTTTATTTATAAGGAATTACAATATAATGATATTACATTTTTGCCCCTGCTTTAATAAGGATTGTCTAGGATGCTCTAGATATTTTACAAGTATGAGCCTATTGCCCGACTGCTATCTGACTCATTTAGCCGAGCTCATGAACGATTTTATCGATTGGGCTTAATTAGCATTACTGGTCAACTAAGCTTGATCGGCTTTGTGTTGACATGACTGGTTTAGTCGCCTAGGCTTGGCCAGCATTGTTGATCAACCGATCTAATCTAGTTATTCACCCTAGATCTCTAGTAAGGAACTCCTTTTGGAAGAATGACGTTGGACTATCGAGCAGAGGATGAATTAACATAACCTAATATGTAACTCGCACTTCAACTAGGAGAGCTTGAGGGTCTTCAACTAGGAGAGCTTGAGGGATGACTATACAAATTATTGTTGTATTGCTAATTTATTATCCTTAACAAGGAGCCTCAATGGTGTCCGTGGGATCTTTGATGATACTGGATGATTGTATCTTTCCTCAGATTGGATCAAACAGATTATAGGTTTCCACCATCAATCAACTTTCTTATCGTGGTTGGCTTGAATATCTTTTAATCTCATTTCTGGCCGAACAACTCATATTTGGTTTCCTTCATGACTCGATAGGCTTCAGCCTTGTTTGCTCTGGCTCGGACAACTGTATTTGATCAGATAAGTGATTATACTGGTCTTCTCTCTATGGGCCCTCATTTATTATATTCGCTTCCTTTTGGATCGTTAGATCTCCTTAAGATCAACGTTGGCACTTTTTTAAATGTATATATTTTAATTTCTCAATTATTATACTAATCAAGTGTGAAACTGCGATAAGAATAAGTGAATTTAATGCAAAAATTGATAGTATTTATTTTTTAATCAATGATTCAATAATTGAACTCCCTTGATTTCCACACCCTTGGTTCTTATAAAAAAAGCGTGATGGGACTCCTTGACATTCCATATTTATTGTGAATATCTTCTTATCTAAATCAATCAGCTTTCAAGCGCAATCATGGAGAATGTGTCACTTTTGGGAGACCAAAGGAGCAGTACCATCTGAAAGGTTAAAAAAAGAAGAAAAACTCTGTCAAGAAGAGAAAAGCAGTCATGCCAGTGGTCAAGTTGGTTCGTCCGATTTGTTTCTCTATTCTCAGTGGAAGAAAGTTTGAGTCGTCTGATTCAATCCTCTATCCTCAGCAGAGGAAAGTTCGTACAATCACCCTGGCCAACAATCCGTCTGCTCAACCTTTTATTTACTTCATTCATGAGCATGTTTGATGTTCGATCTTACGAAAATACATTTTTTTTCCAAACATCACAACCCAAGAATTTGGAAGCTTAAATTTTGCAAAAAAATAAAAGAAAAATATGATGCAAATGAACTGAAAAATCATTCTTGCCACTTCTTAATGAGCATCACAAAAGTTTTGGTGTGATAAGCATAAATGAAACTCATATCTATACTATTTTCTACTTTTTGATTTGTTCAAAAGTGATCCATATTGTCAACATTTTTCCCCGTGATACCATTATCAACAAGCATCCATTAGTATAATATTTTACCTTTGGTCCATTTAGATCTTTTAAGACAATAATTACTTAGTTCTATGAAATTTGGTCGATACAAGATGCTTTCTTAGATTTGTTTTCTTTAATATCTTAGAATCATATTAAAATATGCTCAGTTCAAATTGCATTTATATTTTATTGCTTATCATCCTAAATGACTGATATTGTTAAAACTAATATCTACCATTAAGGAAATGAGCACAATAAAAATAATTATTACTTTAAATAAAATAAAATTACTTGGTCTATTGTTTGGTCATCTATCTAATAACCCTTAAAACTAGTTAATGCATACCTTTAACATAAATTTTATCCTCAAAATTATTTTTAGGAATTGTGAGTATACAAAAGCTCAATCTGATATTTTTATGCCTTTAGTATTTTTGTAAAGATTAGTATTAAATATTTCACCACATGAACAAATTTGTATGATCAGCATGGTTTTAGTTTACAATATTTTCTCTTATTATATTCCTTTTTCTCTTTTATTATTTATTTTATTCATGTTAAATTTTGTTTCTTATATACAAGCATGTATGATTGTATAATAAATAAGATAATAAAGTTTATTTATCCACTATGATTTCCTCTTCTACCATAGAGAATAATTAATTTATAAAAAGAGCCATTGATCACTTTAGTTAAAATGACAATGAGCAATTGCTAACATTTACATTTGTATCATTGTACTTAGAAAATCAGCTAGGATTTTTTTGTTCTTAAAAGCATTAGTTAAATCTATTAAATGATCAATATTTGTATATCTCAGGATGTCGAACAATTTGGTCTATGGGGGAAGTTAAAAGAAGAAGTGAGACATTTGATTAATCACAACAAACAAAAGGATATTTTTGAGAAGCTTGAAGTTGTTGATGCCTTGTGTAGGCTTGGGATTTCATATCATTTTGAATGGGAGATCAAGAGCATGTTGAGTTTGATAGCTTCATCAATGGGAAGCTTAAGAGATATTTTACATAATAACCTTGATGGCTCTGCCTTACTCTTTAGGCTTCTAAGAGAATATGGAATTAGAGTCCCAAATCCAAGGCAAGTAAACCTCTATATCAAACTTCATTTTAGTATCACTTTTGACATTTAAACTAAAAATATATTATTTCTAAATCATAACTTTATTTTGAAGCTATTATAGTAGAAGAATAATTTTATTAATGGTTATTCAATATTGCAGTGAAGATTTTCTGATTAAGTGCTTCAAAAATGAGAGTGGAAGCCTCAAAGTTAACATTATTAATGACGTGAAGGGAATGTTAAGCCTATATGAGGCTTCATATCTTGCTAATGATGATGAGGATGAATTAGATGAAGCCAAGAAATTTACTAATAAAAATTTAAGTATTTACCTCAAGGAACCAGTACTTATTAATCATTCATTGGTTGAACAAATACGTCATGCATTGGAGCTCCCATTGCATTGGAGAATGCCAAGGCTGCACACTAGGTGGTTTATTGATGCTTATGGGAAGCAAGAGAAAATGAATCCCCACTTGCTTAAGTTGGCTAAACTAGATTTCAATATGTTACAAAGTATCTACAAAAAGGAACTCAAGGAGATGTCTAGGTATGTTATATAAACAATCAATCACACCTCTCTCTCTCTCTCTCTCTCTCTCTCTCTCTCTCTCTCTCTCTCTCTCTCTCTCTCTCTCTCTCTCAGTATATATATATATATATATGAATTGATGAATATTTTTATGTATAATAGGTGGTGGAAGAGCCTCGGTCTTGCTGGGGGTGACTTTAGTTTTGCAAGGGATAGATTGATGGAGAATTATTTTTGGTCCATGGGATGTACATTTGAGCCACATTTTTGGAGATGTAGGAAAGAAATTACCAAAATAGGCAGTTTTCTTACAACCATTGATGATATTTATGATATATATGGATCATTAGAAGAGCTCATGATCTTTACCGATGTTGTTAATGAGTAAGGAAACCATGCAATTTAATCACAATTCTTACTTCAGAAAATTTCTTGTCTGATATCACGAGCTTTTTTTTTTTCCTTTTGAAGCTTTTTGAAAGGTGTTTTTAATAATAGACCACAGAATTTGGTTTCTATGTTTCTTGAATTACAATGAGCTAAATTTGTAATTGAATTAACTTCTAATAAGCTTTTTTGGTTTCCAAGTTCTATATAATTTTGTGTTTAATGGAAAAACCTTGTCTTTATAGTCCAAAGCAAATTCATATACCACATGTGATAGATTTAGGGTCCGTTTGGGGCAGCTTGTGCGTTTCGGGATAAGCTGCTTATCCTGAAACGTGGCCCGCTGACCGGCCGCAGAGGTCGACCCACGGCCTGCGCGGCCTGCGTTTAGTGTAAAAACCCAAACGCAGTTTCGGATAGGCTGGCGAAAAGCGCGAACCAAACGGTAATACGACGTTTTGAAAACGCCGCCCGCACTTATAAGTGCCCCAAACGGACCCTTAGTTAACTACATAGTTCTTTTCTCATTGTTTGTCAAAATTTGAAGTTTTATCCCACAAATATGAATTTTATTTCTTTTATGACCGTTTTTGCAAATAAAGTATACATCTCCCAACAATACATTAATCACCTTTATTGAAATATTATTTTAATATTTTTTGAAATTTTTATTATTCCTTAATATAATAACTCAAATTCACTATCAACCTAGTAATTACCTTTTTTTTCATTTATATTAGTAAATTTAAATATCAGCTGTGAGAAATTTATATGATTTTCATAGAAACATTTTTTTATCTTGAACTTAAGTTTTGTTGAGAGTAGTGGCTAAAAAAATGAGAAAATAGTATCTGTGAAGGACTCCATGTCCAGGCGATGGTTCAGATGTGGCTACGTTGCGGTCTATCGCACAACAGTTCATCTGGACCATCGTCTAGCCTTGCAGCCGCCACACATAGTATTTGCTAAAAAAAAGAGTAAAATATTTTTGCCAAAAGAAACTTAGTTAAAAATGCATAGTACTTTTTTTCTTTCTATATTGCTTCATAATTCCAAGTTATACATCTCAGATGGAAGACCACTGGAAATGAAAAGCTCCCAAATAACATGAAGAAAACCTTATCTGCACTTTTCAATACAATGAATGATATCGCAGCTGTCACTTTAGCAGAAAGAGGATTAGACATTCTTCCACGACTAAAACGACTAGTAAGCCATCCCTGCATCAAACATATATATATATTGATTTATGTTTCTACCAAGTAGGTGTAATTTAATGCATTTATTTATTGTTATAGTGGAGAGATCAATGCAAAGCATATTTAGTTGAAGCAATATGGTATCATACAAGATACACTCCCACATTCAATGAGTACATGGAAAATGCTTGGATAACAATTGGTGTGCCTTTGTTGCTAACTTGTGCATATTGTTTAAGTGAAGACTTGACATTAGAAGCTCTAAACTGTCTGGATTTCTATCCTAAAGTTACTCGATATTCATCAATGATTACTCGGTTGTATGATGACTTGGCCACATCAACTGTAAGTAAATCAATATTATTCATTAGTATATATTCACAACATGCATCATTAATCAACTTTGTTTCTGACATTTTGATTCAGGATGAGCTTCAAAGGGGGGACGTACCGAAATCAATTCAATGTTACATGATGGAGGCAAATGTTTCAGAATCTGTGGCAAGAGAACATATGAAATATTTAATTGAAAAGTACTGGAAACTACTGAATTATGAGTATCTTCATAATTTGAATATGGAGGAATGCTTCAAACGACATGTGCTGAACTTCCCTAGAGTGACCCAATTCTTATATCAAAATGGGGATGGGTATGGAAAGCCTGGTAATGATACTAAACAGCAAATAATGTCTGTGTTAATTAATCCAATTCCATTATGAATTGGATGGTTGTCATGTTTTCTAAATCTTAGTGTGTGATGAAATTTGATGAGGGTGCATATCTTTTTGATGTTATATATCCCTAAAATTCATGTGATAGCATAATGCTATTTATTCATGATAATTGGCCAATAAGTATTATTTGCAATGCAAAAGGACCATGAGGCCCATTCTGATTATAATAATGACCAAGTGATTATTAAAAATAAATAATTGCCTATATATATATATATATATATGCATTTACCTTTGCTTTAGTATAATATTGTTTGTGTGGCCCAATGTCTTTAATTTAAAAAACATATATTATTATTTTTAGAAAAAAAATATTTAATTTAATTTTATTGTTATTGTAAAGAAAAAATATCAAGTATAAGAATGATAAGTTTCAACATATATGTTTTTTTACATCCAATAAACAATTCAGCCAAATTCATCCAATAATCAACCAAGATTTTAACTACTCAAGCCCACCTCCCTTTTTTTTCCATTTTTTAATAAGAATTAAAATTATGGACTTATACTTTAGATATCAACAATAATATGATCCAACAAAATAATTGATGACTCCAAATTTCTCTCAAGACACTAAATTCCAATGTCCATCATATCAATTATTTATTCTTAGTTGCCATCATTTTGGGAATTATTGTTATCAGTTTTATTGCTCCCATTGAGGCCTTATATTTGCTCACAATGTTTTTAATTTATTCTAGGCTAAATTTCTATCACTTTCTCTATCCTTGACCCCTTCTCTTTGTGGTTTTCATAAATTGTTACATCTTTTATCCTCCATCAACTACACCTCAATTGTATGGTCAATTCACCTTTTTGCATGAATAGTGCATTCCATGAGATTGTTCCTATTATATGCTATAAAATTTGCAATTATGAGAATTAAATTCACGTACAAATTGCATAATAGTCTCATACACACATAGATGAAAGGAGAAAATAGCGCACAATTTAGAGAACAAAAATGTTTATTATGTGAAAGCTTGAATGGAGAAAAATAAGATGCTTTACTTTGTCTAAAAAGATCCACTAACTTAAGAATTAAGTTTTTAACATTGGTCCTTCATTAAAATATAGTAACTAAGAAATAATGCAAGAATTTGGACTATTATAGATTTTCTTAAAAAGTGGTTGAATTAAAAAGAGCAATGACTATGGTTAATATTTAGAGGAGCCATCGTTAGTTTAAAACCTAGCTTTCAAACCATATTTGGACTACGCATTCTAATAACTAAAAATAATTCAAAAAATCACCTTATTATTTATAGATATATTTTAAAATAAAAAATAGACTAAAATATTATGAGTTAAATAACTTGACTAGTTTTTTAACCATGTTATAGTGAGCTTATTTCATTTGAAATATTTAGATACAAATAAAAAATTTATGCTCGAAATATTCATAGTGTAAATTGAAAAAAAATTCAAAAGGAAAGTTTTTGGAGAATTTTGATAAATATTTTTAACTTACAAAGTATTAAAATTTGGATAGAAGGTAAGAATCTTATGCTATAAGTGCTAAAAGGTTATTAAGTCCAAATTTGAGAACTTAGTTTAATTTTTAGTTATGATTATCTACATTAATTATAATTAAAATTTTTAATAATTATCACTAACAAATAATATTTTTTAAAATTAATATTACTATTATTAAATAATTGCCGCATTATTCCATTATTAATGAAAGGAGGTATGAACTTTGGCATGAAGGGACACTTGAAGTTGAGATAACTAACTTTGTGTTAAGGGAATATGGAAGAGGGTAATAACATAAAGAGCTTCTTCCATTAAGAAAAATAAGATAACAAAAATGTCACTAAATGTTGAAGAAGAGAGCAGAGAAAAAGTAAGACTAATGTTCCATTTTGTCATACTTGCCAAGGCAATTTTGTTAAAAACTTCTCGAAGAGATAAAATATCATCATATCATCTTAGCATAAGGACTATTTATTTTTGTATGATGTTTAAAATATGGTTTAAGCTGCAAAACAATATTATACATTAATTTATTCATGATTCGTATGTTATTCTTTGAGGATGAAAATCTCTTCATATTAAATTTATATTATTTGAAAATCTTTTAAGGTTTATTCAACTTTGATTTATTTTAGTGAGTTTAGACTTTGGGGACTTTAGTTTGATGTTTGGCATTTTAGGGTTTGAAATTTTAATTAGGGTTTTGATTGATATAATTAGTGAATTTAGATGTTGTTGATTTTAGTTTATTAATTGTAACTAGCTTATTTAATGATTTAATATGAGGTCAACAACAATAGGTTAAGACATAAAAAAAATTATAGAGAATAAAAAAACATGGAAATTTTAGTGTATAACTTTGGAACAAAAAAATATATATATATTTTCTCATCTCTAAACCAAATCTTTGAAAAATAAAAATAAATAAAATTTAGGAAACATTTCAAGGTATGAAAAACAAAATAGACAGTGAACCTAAATTTGACTATTCTTTTCTTTAATATTTTTTGTACTTTTTCATTCCAACAAGCCTTCTCATATATAATTTATTTTTCTGAACTCCTTAAAAACACTTAAGACTTTTTTTCTTAATAATGTTATTAGTCATTTCGTTTTTATCAATGTACATTCCAACCTTTGAATTCCTTTCATGGAAATTAAATTATATCTATCAATTTTCACCATTTTTTTGGCTTCAATCATTATTCTTTTGTCTTCCTACCTTTAAGTTATGTAAATAACTTAAGTACAATATTGTATGAAAAAGATTCATCTTTGACTTTAAATACAATCTTTGATAGAACATTGCAGTTTCTTGGGAGAACATAAAATAGTTTAGATTTATGTTTCTTATTATACTTTCAATCGTCTACCCAGTATCATCAATATCCTTTAATGACTAATATTCTAGCTTTTCAATACAAATAAATATGTTTCTTAGATTTACTTAATAGTACATCAATCACTTCAAAAAATTCCTATTTGGATATGATATACTAGAATCTCTAACGTAAGTTACATTTCCTTTGAAACATATAATTAATATTTTATGATATATTTGCTACAAAAATATCTTTTTGTTGCTATTAATAGTTATTTACTAACCAAATTGATTATTAATCCCAACTTTAATGTTTCACTGCACTACATTTTTGCACTAAAAATAGAAATAAAAACTAAAAAAAGAATTTGAGCAACATTAATAGAAATTTCTCTGGAAAATGTTATTGTTCTTACCCTTCTAACCTTCACTAGAAATAGTTTTCTTACAATAACATGGTAAAACTGGCCCTCTAGCAAGGACCAAGTGCCTCCAAAAAGTAAGGCTTGTCATTGTAATAGTGGAAAAAAAAAATACATAAAGCGTTCCTTTGAATGTCAAATAAGCATAAAAATGATAATTATAGGAATAAAATATTTAGGTTTTCTACAAAAAAAATACTAGCATCGCCATTAACTTTAAATAATGTCATAAATTTTTTGAAGCAAAGGATTATAATTCCCATCAATTCATAATTGATAAATAACAATTAAAAATTCCCAATTATATGCAAAAATACTCCATTAAAAAAGTGAAATATAAAGCTTTAAGGAAATCTCTCCCAAAGTCAATAAAGTTATACATAGGAACACCAAAGTGACTTAAAGGAATATATGTTGTGGCCCTTTTGGGTTCTTCACTAGCCTATAAGCCCTAAAGTTTGCACTATCCATTTTCTCAAGTAAAAAATGCAAGTACATATCATGCATCATTAGAATTACACAATAAATAACCCTTTATATGGGAATACCATCCAAAATATTTGTTTCTTCGATTTTAGAGGAAAAGGATTTATATAGATTCATGATAACTCTTATATATTTACATATCTAATATCTAAAGCATGATATTTACATATATAACACTTTAGTGTTAAATCTCATATCAAAACATATGCATGGAAATTTATATTTTTCTTAAAAATGTTAGCATTGGTGGCAATTTTTTGATATAAAGTTAAAAATGTGGGTGTTATATACGTTAGTATTAAAGTTTAGGTGCTAGATAAATAACTACACAAGAATTGTGTGAAATTTATGTATTAACTCAATTTTGACCAGAACTTGACTCAAAACTGATTTGAATTTGACCTGAATAGCTTTTATATAAATATACAGGTCATTTGGGCTCAATTATGTCGGGGTTGAATTAGATTTTCCTGACATGTTTAATAGTTTGTTTGCGTATAGGCTAAGTAGTTTCATGTCGGGAAACTTTTGGACCAGACCCGAACCCAACTCATGAAGCCGATGTAACACTCCAAGGTTTGATTGTTGTAGCAGGTCAATCTACTAAAGCTTTGATACTCTTATCCTTAAAATTCGGGCTAAAGAACAAAATTTAGATTTTGTTTTATTCTCCTTCTTATGTTCCAAACACGAAGGAGCCAGCAGAATCGTGATAAATACTTTAAATTTTCCGTCATGATAATACAGTTTATTCAAGAAATAAACAGCAATATTTTGAGAAAAGTGCTTATCAAACTCCAGAGATTAGTTATAACAAAACATAATTCACTAGTAATTTTATAGTTAGTTGCTCAATTATAATTAATTTATTCAGGATTAAAATGTGTAATAATTATATATGAACCCATCAACAAGTGAGAGCAAAATTGATTATGAAATGAATGTTTATTCCTATGGAAACTATGCCACTTCTTTTAATATATATATCTCCATGCTTCATAACTATGTTTAATCTACACATCTTTATCTAAATTTCCTTATAATTGAATTGTTCAAGTGAAGGAAGGCTGCAATTGAAATTTTATTTGATTTATTTATGTAAGTTATGGGTAGTGATTGTGCATGGATAGATTTTTGTCCTCATAATAATGTTCATTTATCAGTTGATCAGTTGATTTCATTAGTATTATAGAGAGTTTAACCTTGTTTTACTCTAAAGGTCTGAGAATTTATCATTAAATAAAAGGAATTATTTCAATGAGATTGCTCAAAAGAGTAGATGTTTTTGTTTAATTATATTT